CACCGAGCGCGAGAAGTGTGCGACCGTCAAGGCCGTCAGGCTCGAGAAAGCCGTCAGCTTCCTCGCCCTTCCCTCCGCAGGGACGCCACCGACAACGTCGGCCCCCCGCACGTCGAGAACGCGGCGGGACTGGCCCCCCAGGCGGGCCGACCTCCCCTCCGCAGCCCGCTCGGTCAGGCCCAGAGGTCAGCGAGCCCACACCTGTGAGAGGCTTCCTCCGAGGCGCCCGGCGCCAGCCCGCAGGAACGCAGCTGCCAACGGATTTCACCAGTGCTTAGTCTCCTCTTGTTTTCCTCCCCTTTTTACCTTTGCGAGTATTCCGCCTCGTCTCCCTGCCCTCGGGCTCCGCCGCCTCCGCGTCCCGTCCCCCGAAGGTCCACCTCGCCCCTTCCCCTCGCCCGCCTTGGCGCGGCACCCAGCCAACAGGAGTGGGGGGAGGTATCGAGGCGGATTGGCATCTAGGACGGGGCGCCGCCCGCTAAGGGCCCTCCCGCCGAGCAGTCTCCCAAGTCCTCCTGAAGAGCTGCCTGACCAGCCACGGTGACGGGACCGTCCCCCTGACGACCTGAGAGCCGAACAAAACAAAAGAGCGGGCCCACTGCATGGGCGGGGGGTCCCTTCTCGCCTGATTGCGGACCGCCCTGCAGCACGCCCAGCGCCGGCTCCATCTCCCTGCCTCCCCTCTCCCTCTCGCCGCTGCTCTCTTCTGCGCCCTTCTCGCCACTGCACCCTACAGCGAGCGCGCCTCATTGCCGGCAGATGGGGGGGGGGGTAGCTTTGGCGAAGGATGGGGCGAACGGTCGACAGCAAAAGCGGGGTTGACCCCCCTTTGCGATCCAGCACAATTTCTGGGTTAGTCATCCTCCGCTACCACTCCCTTCTACAAACAATACTACTACTTTCCGGGCAAGTGTTAGCCATATTCTGGGCACACCCGCCGACAGGCAGACAACGCGGCCAGTCAACCTCGCAAAACCACCGTGCGCTTCCAGATGTCCACCACCTTCTGACTGCCTTCTCTTTTTTGGCACTATCGGCACTATCGCAACTCAGCCGCCTGGGTGTCGGATGAGGTGGTCAGCGCTTGTCTCACGAGGTACTTAGTGAGAATACGCAGGCCGCGAAGACCTCGTAGCGGCCCGTGGGACGGGCGGTGGTGACAACGCCGCAGAAGTCGGCTCCTAGGAAGCGAGGAACCGCAAGGCGCACCAAGCCCCACGCCAGCTCTTTTTTCTTTGCGCGGCAGGTACACGTGGGAGGGGACTTACCTTTACGTTAGAGGCCTCCTAGATGGGGTCGGAGTGGATGGGGTCGGAGGATCGCGCCGCATCGGCGATGCACCGGCGATGCATCGTCGACGTCGGCGATGCATCGGCGACGTCGACGTGACGCAAATCGGGCTGCACATCGAGCCGCATCGGCGATGCATCGGCGATGCGGCGCGATCCTCCGAGCCCATCTACTCCGACCCCAGTTACAAGCCTTAGATACGTTACCTTTCAAGACCAGGGTCCGTGGCCCGGGGGGGAGGAGCGGGGAGCATTAGCACATGCCACGCGTCTGCATTCGAAAGTCCTGCGTGACAGAACGTGCGCAGGACGGAGCGGGCGGCGGGTGCTTACAGTAGAGGCCCGAACACAAGAAACCTTCCACGAGAAATCCAACCCTGAGACCCCAGGACGTCCATTGATTCTTGGTGAGGAAGCGTTTTCCATGGCACAACCATCGAAACCCAAGAAACCCAGGGCACCCTGGAGGCAAGCAGGGTGTTTCTTGGCATGGGCCCGCACTGTAACAACCCGCGGCTGAAGGACCACTGGAGAATAGCACGTCATAACGACTAGTCGTAATGAGATGGAGGAGTCGGAGGGCTGGAGTGTAGTGGAGGGGGAGGGAGGAGGATGAGGGATGAGGGGGACGGAGGAAGGTGAAACAAGGAAGGAAGGTGAAGGGCAGGAACGGGGGGAAGAGGGCGGAGGAGGAGGGATACGTAACGGAGGGAGGGATGAGGAGGGAGGAGGCCTCCCCGCCTGCCTGCCAACTTGTCTGGCGGCGGCCCGAGTCCGCACACGGTGAAGAGCGGCCCAGGGCGGGCAGCTGGGAGCGCAGGGCCCGAAGGAGATGCATGCCCTGCCCCTACCTCCACTCCTCCTCCTCCGACCTGTTCCTTCTCCTCGTCCTCCGCCGCCTGTTCATCCGCCACCGTGCCCCCTGGCACGTTGAGGCGTGGAAGAGTGTCAAATGCTGCCTGGTACGATTTCTCTAGCCGTCTAAAGGAACCACCCACCCCTCTCTTCGCACTCCTGGAGGTCCCTGAGCGGCCATGGCGCTTCCTTGGGGGTCACGAAAGCTGGCAAGACGGTCGAGGCAGGCGATCAAACCGCCATGACGGCCGATCATGCCTCCAAAACTGCCTGAATTGGCTCCAAGACGGCCCAAGATGGCCTCATGACTGCCTGGAATTTGCTTAGGGTGGCTCGAAGAGGCCCCACGACGGCGC